GCCACCGCGCTTGTGGGCGTGCGTGGCTGCCCCAGGAGCGCCACCGCCATGCGTGCCTCCTCTAGGAGCGCCGCCAGCGCGTCCGCGCCTGTCTGGGCTGTCGCCACGCTCGTGGGCGGCGTCTTGCGCCATCGCGCCGCCCGCCGCTCAGGCTGCCGCCCCTCTCTAGCGACTCGAGGTCGCGTCGGCGGTGTCGTCGCCGAAATGGAGTTGCCGATCTTTGCCGCCATGAGACCTCGACCTCATTGCGCCGCCGCCGCGACGCTGCCGATTCGCCGCCATGGCTGCTTCCGCCCCGCTCTGCTTCGCCACTCCGCCATTGCCGACCTCGATGCCCTTTGCCGCCGCGTAGCTGTCTCTGCCCGCCGCTTCTCTCGCGTTCTCTCTGCTGCAGCAAGTTCGGCCTCCTGCGACGCCAGGCGGGCTCGAGGCGACTGAAGGCCGAGACTCGCCTCATGGGATGGCGGCGCGCACTGGGGGGGCTGCTGCGGGGAGAGGGCTGCCAGAGAGGGAGAGGAGGAGCAGGGCGGCGGAGGAGTTGCTTGCCGCCAACAACAATTTGTTGTGAAATTTGGGAGGAGATGAGTGGAGATGCTCAAAGCTGAGGATAGTACTGGCTCGATACTCAGCTTGTTAGTCGTTGAACTCTCACTCTCGGTAGTAGCAGAATTCTTACTCTCATCAAGAGAGGATGACACTAGGAGTTGGGGCAATTTTCTGGTTTATTTCTCACACAAACTCACACAAATGCCATGCCAACCTGAGGGGTTAGGGATACATATTTATAGGCTTCTAGCCAGCCAAGCATATGCCAAGATGCTAGTCTAAGATGCTAATATGCTGTCCTAAGATGCCTCTAAGATGCTATCCTAAGGATGCTAAGATGCCAGTCAAGGATGCTGCTGCTGCTGTCCTCTGTCCAGGATGCTGCTGCAGCTGTCCTCTAAAGATGATGCTGCTGCTGTCCTCTAAAAACATACCACAAAGACTGCTGCAGCCCCACAAAGACCACAGAGACTTATCCATCAGCGTTGGCGCGCAGGGGCGGCCCGTACCGCAGATTGATCAACTCCTTGAAGCGGCTCCATGACGGGGTACCCTCGTCCGTCTGGACTTGGATGTACCACAGCTGGGCGCCCTCCTTGAGGTTGTAGGACGCCATCCACACCTTCTCCTCCTCCATGATCCGTTGCTGGTGGAAGTACGACTCGCACCGGTTGATGAAGATGAGCGGGTCAGACTTGCCGTCGTACCGCGGGAAGTCCATCTTCTGGAACTTCGGTGGCCGATCCTGATGGTGCTCGCCGGAGAACGGCTTGCTGCCCGATGAGGGTGATCGGTCGGCGGTGAGGGCGGCGATGGCCTTGGTGTTGGCATCCAGCGCCTTGGCGTTGGACTCAGCGGTGGCGTGCAGGGCCGTGACGGCCTTGGCGAGGGCTTCGACGGTGGTCTTGAGGTCGCCGTTGTCTCCCATGGGTGCGGCACAGGAGGCTGCGGAGGATGAGGCCGGGGAGGCTGGCGTGGTGGCTGGTGGTAGTGTTGGCGCGGCGGCCGGAGGTGGTGGAGGAGAGGACGCGGCGGTTGGTGGAGAGGTGGGGCGGGACGACGAGGATCGCCGGGACCGTGATACCAGGTTGTCAAGGGCGTCGGGCCCTTGGGTAGCTGGACCTCGGCTACGTAGTTCGTAGCCGCGATCCGTCTTCTCCGGCGAGGTTTTCCCCTCCGCCGCAGGCTTAGTTGTTTAGAGAGAGAGAGAGACGAGATGGGTAATATCTTACTTCTTCCCTTTTAATTGTCTCCGGTACAAATATATATGGCCTGAGGCCGAACTGACTAGAGCCAATCGGCTCCTAGAATTAAGGACTAAGAATAGCAACTAATCCTATCTTTCCTGCTAACCACCGGAGGCTGGCTTGACCAGGCCCAACCTCGCGCGATCAACACGCACGGCAGCACGCCGCACGTCCCTGGTGCGATGTCGCCTACTGTACGTCTGGCCCCACATGACACCTTGTAGTACGGTCCTTGTCTCAAGATTGGGATAGATTTGGTGTTAGTTGGGGAGGGATTTTCTAGTTGAGCCTCCTTTGGTTGTTGGCATGCTCTTGTCATGCTCAATTCTTGTCATGATTAATTGATTATTGTGGGGTGTGGTTGACTCTTTGACGAACACTATGGTTTGACTGCATATTCTAGTTCAGGTCTTCCTTGTGTTGCTCTTCCCTCCATTTCTGTAGATCGTCCAGTACTATTTATTTTCCTTTCCGCGCCTTTCAGATATCTGTATTGTTCAAAACTTCAAGCTGCCATGCTTACGCCTGTTGGTATGTTACTGCATGTTCCCTTGTAAGTAATAGTAGGAAAAAAAACATACCATCTTCTCCAATAGCATTTTTCTAAACAATAAGCTACTTCTTTAGTTCTGTTGATGCTGCATCATTTATAGATTGTCAACTATTGGCGCCCCTCAAGGGTCAGGGTTTGTTTAGCTTGCAGCTTCATTTTGATTCCGATTATTTTCCCAGTAAAGGGTCCGCTCTCTTCATTTGTACTGCACTCATGCTTAGTTCTATGGGAATGATTTAGCTGGGACTCTATGGTGTTCATCTGCTTTTTCAAAAACAATTGTATTCTTCTGTTCGCCATGTGATTATTACTGGAACTGTAATACATTGACAATGTTGGATAAAGGGATGAATTCTGAATCTTTCCACAGCTTCATGTGGTATGCTCTAGAAGAAACTTATGTTGTAACTCATTTGCAGTGCTTTAAAGCAGGATAAGATACTGACATTTGTAGTCATGCATAATTCTTTGGTGACACTTATCCATTGCTGACGTTTGTGTCTCCTCTTATCTTTCAAACAGGAACCTGAATTTTATGTTCTGAAAGAAGATGAGTCACCCTGTATTTTTGGTCCAATCGTGAAACAACGATGGTCCTATGCATGCGCAAAGCAACTTATTGAGAGGCTTATATTTGGTCAGTAAAGTAAATTGTCTTATACAGCTGATGGTCTTCTTCTCATTCTAACACTTACGGTCATTTTTATTTGGGTATCTGCCAGCTGAAGGCGCAGAAAATGGCCTTGAATTCACAATCGTGAGACCTTTCAATTGGATTGGGCCAAGGATGGACTTCATTCCTGGTGTCGATGGTCCTAGTGAGGGTGTACCCCGGGTTTTGGCTTGCTTCAGTAACGTATGTGCACTTGTTTCTTTCTAAGGATGGCTGCCTTAATTTTGCATCATATTCAGTCTTAGAAGATGCATGGTACAATGGTTTTGCAGAATTTGCTCCGCCGAGAGCCCTTGAAGCTTGTTGATGGGGGCCAGTCTCAGAGAACCTTTGTTTACATTAAGGATGCCATCGAAGCTGTTGTGCTGATGATTGTATGTTACTGCCTTTATTATCTCTGGCTCCTTGTTCTTATATTCCCTAATTCGCTGAGACTGAACTCCTGTTTTTCTGCTGCCAACTATGAAAAGGAAAATCCTGCTCGAGCCAATGATCACATCTTCAATGTTGGGAATCCTGACAATGAGGTTACCGTTAGGGAGTTGGCCCAAATGATGACGGAGGTATGCCATTAAATTTATGATGCCGGCAAGTAATAGTTGGCGCTACTCATTTCTGTTTGAAGCCATCTGTTGTCTTGTACGTGTAGGTCTATGCAAACGTCTCAGGAGAGGCACCACTGGATGAGCCCATGATTGATGTGAGTTCGAGCCAGTTCTATGGTGAAGGATATGATGACAGTGATAAGAGAATTCCCGACATGACTATAATCAACAAGCAGCTAGGTATTGCTGGTGTCAATTTGATGCGGTGGTCTCTGGGTATGCTTGTTTTCCATTACTTGTTGCTAATGGTCAAATGTCGACTAACTGTAGGTTGGAACCCAAAGACGCCTCTCAAGGATCTGTTGGAGACAACATTGACATATCAGCACAAGACATACAAAGAAGCTGTGAAGAGGCAAATGTCGCAGGCTTCAGCAACGAGTTAGATGACATGCCCCCGGACCTCAAGGTGGTGGTGGTGGCTGGGACGGCTCTCGTTAGAGCCCTAGTCTCAGCAGTTATTATGTTTCGGAAGTCAGAATACATATACGCTAGTAATCGTTTTGAGGCCCTAGATGTCCATGTTAGATTTCATCATGCTGCTATCAAGGGATGCTATGCTATCCGTATGTGATATGTGTGGGTTGGGCCATCCGTTGTACTTGTGTTGGTTGCTCCCCCTGCTGTGTGAAGTCATTCTTTGGAATCATTTCATTGGCGAGAGCTATTATTGTCCGTTGAGTATACTACTCCTAGATGATTGCTCAGTTTTGTTGGTTCATATTCTGCCATTCACGACGTGTCATTGATGCTGCCAAATGCCTTATGTCTGTCAGTTATACATGTAGACTGAAGAATGATGTTCACCTTACTTTGGGCCTGTTTGCCGGAGCTCTTGAACAGCTTTTGGGCCGAATCCACGATCCAAGAAAAAATTAAAGAAAAAAAGTCCTTTTTGACATCCTCAACTTTTGTGGTCATCCAATTTCCCCTCATTTATAAAATTGTTTTTTTACCCCTTTAACTTTTATACCATTTGTCATTTGTTTTTGTATTCTGGGTTGTTTTTTAATGACAGCTTTTGCTGACATAGTGCCACATCAACCGTCGTCTTACATGGTGCCACATCAGCTAAGAGGGGTATATTTGACGATAATTCATAGGATATATCGGATTATAAAATCGTTCCAAATATTTTTTTAAAGAATGAAAACCAAACAAGTAAAACAATTTTTGTGAAAAAGAATGATAAGTACTGTAGTAACAAAGGAAAAAAGAAAAGAAAAGAGAAAAAGACGCTGCCTTGCTTTGCTTGCAATCTGAAACGGGACAAGTAAACTACTGGACTCGAGAGTGTTGGGGACGCCGCTCTTGAGAGTTGAGAGATAGAATACAGCAAACGGGGGATTGCGACTTGCGAGGAGGCGGCGGACGCCATGGGCAACGCCGGGAGTGCGCCGGACCAGGCCAAGAACTCGGTGGATGGGGCCGGCGCTGCCGACGCGGGGGCCCGCCGCGGACCGCCGTCGACTGTGCGTTTCTTTCCCGATGCGGAGCGCCACAAGGCACGGCAGCCGCCATCGATAAAGCTCGAGGAGGAGGAGGGCGTCCCGCCGCCGCCCACCACCGAGGAGGAGATGGCCCCGCGCAACCTCTGGCAGGTACGCCGCCGTTCCAAGTTGCCCCGTCGACTAGATTAGGTTAAACCACCGCAAAACCCCTTTGTTCCGAATTTGCGATAGCGATAGCGATGCGATGGCCCGATTTCCTAGTTTCTCAGGATGTCATCTGAGTAGTCATTTTCCTGCTAGTCGCAGCGCATATTGCTTGATGATACAATTGGAGATTTCCCACTCGAAACATTCGCCCCATGATTATGATTGCCACTGAGTGAATCACTGTTTGTAGATGTTACTATTGCAGTGGCATTCTTCTTGTTCCAGCCACGCTGCAACCAGTCTGAGATGAAATTGGGCGCAGTACCCCTGTCCACAATATGGGCCATATTTGCTCGCGATTGGAGTTACAATTTGTTGTATTATCTGTTGTTGTACTCGTGGATTAGCCTTCTCCTCATTCCTCAGCACATAAATTAGTTTGTTTCAGAATCATATTTCCCAGAAAGCATGTTAGTATGCAATAGACTGTCCGGATGCAATTCGCTGACTGATTGAGCTGCAAGTTAACACCTACACAATACGCTGACTCGGATAAAACTGTGCATCGGGATTATAACTGACACTCGACTGTTGTGAGTTGTGTTTGCAGTGTATATTACTCTGAAAACATTATATAGTTGCCCACTGTCAAATTAGAAATGTGCATCATCTAGACTCAGAACCACTTGTAGCGACATTGTGCTTCCATTGTTACTTTTGGCAGGGTCTGTAACAAGTAACCACTTGGAGGCCATGGGGTCGGTTACATATCTTCAAGGTCCTCTCATTTGCTATGTTCTACAAATGCTATCACACTATGACAAGATCTAAACTTTTTAGATGCTGGTCATATCATATTGTTGTTATCAGCCTATTGTTATTCTGCACCTGATACAGATGATTGAGATATAGTATGCTGCCCCTTAAGAGAAAGTTTACTCTTGTTTCCTGCGGTTGTTTCATGCCAAATAGTTGCTTGTATTTTGCTTTATTTCCAACTGTTCTTGTACTATATGATATAATGTGGGCTTGTGGAAATATGACACTTCCTACTATATTGCTATAGGTGTATGCACTTGGGGCGTTCATTGTGTTGAGATGGGCCTGGGCTAAGTGGAAGGAGAACCAGGACAGAGAGGACTCACCAGATGGTCGCGATGGGGATGCACCGGACAGATCGACTTAATCTCCGGTTGCTGCTGCGTGGACTAGGCTCTGTTCCGGTCTAAAACTACCAGGGAAGATGAATGCCGTTTCGTGATGAGCCAATGATGATGGATCACTCTATCCATCATATAGTGGTCATCAATGTTGCTGTGGGGTACCGGATTATGTATTTTGCTGACAATTTGCAAGTGACATTCTCCCCCTTTTCACTCCAGTAGGATCCTTTTTATCTGAGGTGTGGTGCTACAATCTATGATATAATAGACTGCCAGCTTGACTTGTTTTGAACTTGCAATCTTGTGCTGTCTGTTCACTGTACTGATAAACGATGTCAATGAACGTACGTGGAAGTGATAGCCATCAGGTGGCTATTTAGCAGGCGTGGGCATCCGGTTAATTTCACCGGTGAAATCAGAAAACCAGTTTGGTTAAATTGGTTATAAAGAATTTTGATTTTGGCAAAATATTGATCGAATTTGCTGCTAAAAAACTCGAAGCCGACTAAAATCGGTCGGTTGTAACACATTTTTCTATGAGAAAATGTAACAACTCATTTGCATAGGAAACCACTCGATCAAAAATGCAACAAGCAATAAACGAAAAGGAAAAGTGACAAAGAATGCTTCCAGCAAGTAAAGCCTCATAGAGGTACATTTAAATATGCAAATGGACATTATTTTAGTAATATTGTAGTCACAAAGAAATTTAGTTAACGCCGCCTACAATAGACCACCGATCATTGAGTAGTGCCAAATCTTCACTGAATAGATCATGGAAATTTTGGTTAACCGAGTTTTTAGTTAATAAATTGGTTTTCGCCCGCCCTTGCTATTTAAACAACATTATGGCACTACATGTGTTCTTATATCACTCACTATATGTGATCCAATAGATTGTCGACTCCATTAAAAAGTAAAGATTGTCCTGTTCCTTTTTTAATGAGAAAAGGATTGCCCGCTTATTAATAATACTACGAAAGATGAGAACTTGGTGTATAGGCAAACATTTCGGAAAAAAGAAAAAAAAAGATAAAAGAAGAAGGTGCTGGATCGAAAATAATGGAGGAAAAAAAATTATCCCCTAAAGTTGTTGCATCCACAACGCTCCTTTAATTAATAAAACTATATATACGGACAAAAAAACATTTACAAAATAAAATTTTGAGAAGTGGGTGCATTGAGAAAAAAACGAAACAAAAATGATGGTGCATGGAGACATTTTTTTAAGGAGCAAAAGTTGTTGCATACAGAGTGGCAGAGATTGGCACCGAACCTACCATGGGCCAATCAATAAATCATACATACAGAAATTAGATGGTGATTTTTGAGGTGTAACTATAGGGAACAATTCCACATTCAGTGCTTATTACAAAGTAGCAGGGACCATGGCCTATGTTGTTGTCAAACAAAGCTCTGCCCTTCCATAAAAAAGTAAGTGAGGTAAAAAGAAAAACAAAAATTATGTGCTGAACGCTGAAGCTGTTGCATGAACAATGTCCTTTTAATTAAAAACAAATTTTTGAGAAGTTGGTGCATAGAGAGATTTTGGGGGAAAAGGAGAAGCAAAAATAGAAAGATTAAGAAGTTTTTGCACGAAAAAAAAGAGAAAAAATGAACAAAATATGTGCTGAAGTTGGTCCTTGAAAAGCAAAAACAAAAAACATAGCAAAAAGAAAAAAAGAAAAAATATGCTGGCTGTGGGGTTCGAACCCACGCGCAGATGGACTGCAGAAGATCTTAAGTCTTCCCCCTTAACCACTCGGGCAAACCAGCTGATTTGGTTATTTACTATGCAGATTTGTTTATAAATATATTATTTGGTTATTGTCCGGCCGATTATTTACATTTGAGTCCTTGTGATTTGGTCGCCCATGCATACTGATTGACTGGAGTGAAAAGTGGAAAGCGGATTACGGTTACCAAGACAAACGGTTGGACAGGTCAAGGCATGCGCTCATTGTTCATGGAGCACTCGGTCGCCTTGGAGGTGGAAGACTAGAATAGAAGAGTCCGTCGACTCTTTTGAGTCTTTGTTTTCATGTCTGGTGTTCTTCCTATGTGCTAAGTGTCTTTGTTTGGTTTGATATGTTGTGTTTGGTTTGCAAGTATGGGCTAGCTAGTCGTCAGTGTACATTCAATGGTTATGTTAATATAATAACGTCAAAATGTGCTGAAAGTTCATGGTTAAGTTGAAATAAGACCGAAGTATGGCGACCGAGATAAGCCTTTTTTGACACGTTGTGGTACTTGTACGACCACCATTACTAGAAACGAGAATTTCCCTGACGGTGCATTTAGCGTCAGGGAAAACGAAAATATCGTCAGAAAAATTAAAACCAATTTTTCTATGTGTTTTCTAGGGCGGCCCTGTTTGTTTCGCTGAAATTTGGCATATGCTGATTTGTTGTGAGATGAAAACATTATTCGTTCACTGAAAAGTAGTGCTGCAGAATAGGATGAGTATCAATTTTCCTATGTGTTTTCCAAAAACGATCAAGATAATGCTATTTACCCTGATGGTCTATGCAATAACCGTAAAAAAAAAACGAAACCGTAAGGAAATTTTACGTTTCCAGCAGTGTACGTGATGCGCGTGCGGTGCCTTATTGCCTTCGTTTTCATTCAGGTCGGTCGGTGTGCGACTGCGTCTGCATGCATGCATATGTGTGCATGGTGTGTTCCACTCGCCCGCTCACTGTCACTACACTACGTGCGTGTCACTTCTGCTGCGATTCGATCACTTTTCATTAGAGCATTTCAATTCGTTCGTTGCAAGTTGTGCTCGCTCCTCAGATCACGATCACAAATTCACAATCCGTCCAGCAAAAGTCGAGCGAAGCAAACGTTTGTTTGATCTGATCTGGTCATGACACAGGAGAGATTGTTCTCGTTTTTGTTTGGTCATATATATACAAGAACGTGACGCATGTGTACGGCTCCAAGAATTGTCTCTCATGCACGGACGACGCGAGCGAGCGAATAGTCTTCGAGCCTGTTCGGTTGGCTGGTTCGTATTGTTGCTGGTTCGTGAAGAAATACTGCTGACTAGTTTGTGCGAGAGAAAAGCACTGTTCTGACTGAAAACACTGTTCATGTGAACAGTGCCGTGTGAGAGGGCTGGCCAGCCCAGCCAGCCAGCCAGCACCAGCCGAACAGGCTGTTCGTTTTTGCACCGCCACGTACGCCTGCATGCATGCATTTCATTTTCTGTCCTTTTTCTTTTCCATGCATTCCACTTTGGTAACCGACCCGCTGACTAAACGTTCAGTGACGACGATCCCTGTCCATGCATGTTTTCAGAGAAGATGCCCATCGGTGTACTACGTCGCTAGCTCTCCATGCAGAGACGTCGGTGTAAATATCTCTCCTATCCTACGTACGTACGTTCGTACATCGTATTTACGGTACATGCATTGACGATCGATATCACAATCGATTTTTTTGAGGGGGCTCTCCCACTATAAAATATAGTACATTGTGCAAGACTAATAAAATCTGCCTCGTTCGTTTGGCTGATAAGTCATGGCTGAAAATACTGTTGGCTGATTTTTTATGAGAGAAAAATACTATTTGTTGGCTGAAAAAGTACGGCTTATAAGCCAAGCGAACAAAGTGATAGTCTTTGCCATGCACGCAGGAATATCTAGATGATCGATCGGTCCAATAATAACACAAATTAAAAGTCGTCGTCGTCGTCCCCTGTGCGTGCACGTTTTTAATTTGTACTATATATACATCCATCACCTTCCTTTTGACGTTCAATCCAGATGTCTACGTTCTCCGATTCAGATGGGAGGGCGGCTGCACGTTTCAACACAAAGTCCAAATTTTTACTTTTGAGTGAGGAATGGAACTTTTAGAGTCTTTTTCACACGTATGTATGGATTTTTACACACACATGTCCTACCTTTATAAGCACATTCAAAAGATTAAGTAGGCAGATCTTGAACTTGACAAAGTCACCACAAGACGTCTTGCTCTCGCTATCAACGACACATTGAATACTATTGAAAGAACATCATTGCTAAATCCTAGAATAATAAATCCAACAAATGCAAGCACCAACCCAATCAACTGAGGTAGGCTCATTTTGCCTCACCTTTGGTTTTTAGAAAAATTGCACCTTAATTTTTAAGGCTTGAGAGTTTAATCGAGTACGGAGTACATGCATGTGCTTTCTCCGGTTAAAATTACTTATATTTAACTTTGCCGGTCTCCATGTAAGTTTTTTTTTACTACAACTAACTTCTTTTAAAATATATGTATATAGTTCATATGTTTTCAAACTAAATAAATTTAAAATTCATTGATGTTTGTGGTTTTAAGATTATTTGACTAAATATTGTCCTCATCGACATATTTTCATGACTAGAAGGGGCACAACAACAGTGGGTGCATATATCTAGCACTTCAATCTCCCATAGTTACAGGTAAGTCAAGGTTTTCGTCATTAATTAAGGTTTGTGTAAAAGTTGAGTTCACGCACGCACCGATGTCTATCCTAACACATTTACATAAAGGAAGACAACGACGACATTGGGTATTTTAATTTGGACAAGACATTCTTGGGGAAAAATTAGCGCATCCAAATTCCAAATACGATTATAAAAATAAACTTCCTCCGTTACAAATGCAAGTTTTTTAAGACACGGGTGGAAGAAGAAAACAAGATGACCATAATATACCCCTAGTTAATATATATAATAAATATGCTAGTGCCATTGTACATACCCTCTCGTCCCCTAACTAATTTAATTAAGACAATTAAGCAAGTGTAAGACATAAAAGCATGGTGAAAAAGGCCTCAAAACCATATAAGGAATTAATTGGTCTTTTTTTTTATAGGTGGTCTTTTCTTTTTTGCAAACACATGATAGATGCAGATCGAAGCTCTCGCACGCACACTCATTCTATAAATGTAAGCATAATACACGCATCTACCTCTATATACATATGCTTACATGACATGATAATAACTCTACAAACTGATGAACGAACCGCCGTAGAAAGAAATAGATATATGACACGACTGAGACACACAAAGATTGAAACCTCAGATTTAATTGACCATCAAATCTATAGGGTCGTACGACGCTTGGCTTAGTTCACAACATAAGTATATGTTGTTTTAGACATCTTTTGTTGTGGAGCTCCGAAAGTGGGCATCAATGAAATTGACCACAAACAAATCTGTTATTTTTTAACTACTATATATACTACACTTTGAAAGAAAGAAAAACTACTGTACTTTAAGGTTGGGGGAGAATATAATATCCTAATCACCAAACAGGGCCTGATTTTTTTTTTTAAAAAAGAGAGACTGATTCGCAATGGAAAGCGCGCGTTTATTTCGGTGGTAGATGTTTTTAGATTAAACACATCCGTACGTTTAATTTGCGTGGCAGTATAATGATGGTCATCACATCACATCATCAGTCCACCATCCAGAGCGTGCAGTCCACGTGGCTATGGTCGTCGTCGTCGTCGTCAAGGGCGCCCCAGTGGAGCCCCCGCCCCATGGCCGGCGGAGTGAGCAGCATCCCTCTGGCCATGTCGTCGATGAGCCCGGGCATGTCAAAGATGGCGTCCTCGTCCAGGAAGCCGTAGCAGCAGACCGCCGTGCTATCTCCTCCTCCGGCTGGGGCTCCTCGGGTCCCCGTACTGGTCGTCCAGCAGCATGCAGAAGAAGCCTCCGGCGGCGTCGGCGGCGTGGTGATCGTCCGGCGGTCGTGCTGCAGCAGCAGGCCGGAGGCGGAAGAAGAAGAGGAAGGGCGGTAGAGCTCGGCGGCCTGCGCGGCGGCGCATCGTATGTCCTCGGGCGCGGCGGTGCGCGCTCGCGGGAGCGCGTGCGCGGAGTCCGGGAAGTTGAGGTCGGAGGCGGTGGCGCCGCGGAGGGCGATGGCGGCGACGTCGTGCGCGCGCGCGGCCATCTCTGGGGTCGGGTAGGTGCCGAGCCAGATGCGCGCCTGCGCCTGCGGCTCCCGCAGCTCGCACACCCACCGGGTGCCCCCGCCGCGCGCGCGCACGCCGCGGTACACGGGGTGCCGCGTCTCCCGGAACTTCTTGCGTCCCGCACGCCGCTTCGGGGGCAGGCGGTGGAGGTGGTGGTCGGCGGGAGACGCCGGCGGCGAGGACGAGGCGGACGAGGAGTCGTCGGCGTCCATGGCACGGCCGGTGGAGTACTGGCACTGGCAGTGGCTCACTGGCTGGCCGGCTGGTTCGGTGTGAGGCTGGAAAGGAATGGAATGGAAGGGGCGGCACCTGGGGAGCTGGGTATAAATAGGTGTGGGGGCTTACTGTATAATTAGTTAATTAACTGGTCTGATCTGATGGGGACCCGTCGACTTGGCCATCGAAGCCAACACGGCTTGTTGGGTTTGGGTTGTGGGCAGGGAGGGACCGGGCTGCTACGCCTTGATTTCACGTGGAATGTGAAGTCTGGAAACGGAACACGCGCGCGGCTCGCTGGCAGGGAAGGGACAGGTTTATGTTTTTTTTTTTCCTCACTTTTTTTTGTTTTTTGGGGAATTTTAGGGCCTTGCCCCGGTCTTAGCATTAAACAAAGACAACAATATCCAATACAACATTCGGCGCGCCTGCCTACCATAGTGCTTTTAGGTACCAAAACCGTCACCCAGGCCAGGAGATGCAGGTTTATGTTTTTTTTTGGTTGTGGCGTGCGCTAACCTTTTTTGTTTTTTGTTTTTAAGAATTTTAGGGCCTTGCCCCGGTCTTAGCATTAAACAAAGACAACAATATCCAATACAACATTCGCCGAGGGGTGGGCCCGCCCCGGGCGCCGATCCGACCCCGTGGAGGCGGTGGAGGCCGATCCTCTCCATCAAAACATGGACAACTCAACACGTGCTCATCCGAGCGCAATTGAGGACTCCTCCATACCTTTCGGCATTTTTTCTTGAACAATGGTCTTTTTTTATTATTCATAATACAGTGATCAATTCATCAATAATCTTTTCGTTTGCGAAAAAAAGGAACCTTCGGACCTTTCTACTTTTATCCTGTTTTTTTCTGTTGAGTCAGTCTTACTCCTCTCCATCAAAACATGGACAACTCAACTACTCCATACCTTTTTTGTTTTTTCTTGAACAATGGTCTTTTTTTATTATTCATAATACAGTGACCAATTCATCAATAATCTTTTCGTTTCAAAAATCTACCTTCTACTTTTATCCTTTTTTTCCGAAGAGCCAATGACAAGAGCATTGTCGGGCATATATTAACAGAGAAGAAACATTTTACAATAAATAAAAAAGCAGAACAAAAAACCTCACGAAAGGGCAACAACAAAATTACCACCACAAGAAACACAGTACCAATGATCCTCATAACAACTTTTATTGTAAATCTAGACCATCATAAGTTTGACCCATTCAACAGTTCGATTAGAACCCGATGAACTAAATGCCGTGCCAATTTGAATAACATCCTTCCATTGGTGTCTATTCTTAGTTGGGTATATGTCCTACCATTAGGTTTGTTTTTTCCTTACATTTTGTATGCAATGGCACACAAAAATAATGTAGTCGAAGACCGAAAATAAAATTAGTTATCAGCAACGGGATGACCATTTTATACACAATGTCCGCCAAAAGAAGTCCTGGTCAAGTGACCCTTATGTACAAAGAAAAAGAAGAATGTTAACTGGTCTTTAGTCCAAGAGAATGATCAACCCAACCAAACTTTTACATGAGAAAACAAGTAGAAAATTTTCGTTGTAGGGGATAGCCTAACCAAGTAATGACGAGGAAGGCGTATGGGGTCATCAAGCTACTTTTCTAAGAGAAAGAAGAGTACAATCTTGATGCATTTGTTTTGTCAGGACACCTAAGGTTCTGTTTGGATCCACTGTGTGATTATAATAGTCAACTAAAATAATCTAATTGCAAACAAAACATGTTGGATTATAGGTGGGTTGTTTATAATAAAAGTTGAGACTATAATAATCATATAATCCAGTCGAGAGCTGCCTTTTGAGATTGTAAGCATTTGTCACTTTAACCAACGATAATCCACTATAATTAATTTAATGATCCAAACACTCTAATTTTTATAATCTAATCTCAATTGTAGTAATCCTATACATAATCCAGATTATAACAATCGACCGTGATCCAAACAGAGGTCCTAAGTTATACTGTTATGGTAGTATTTGTCAAATTGTATTAATTGAGCATCTATATTCCATGTGATCAAACATGTCTATTAGGTTTTAAGTCCTAGATGCAATGTATGCATGCATCGGTGCATATGTTTATAGAGTTTGTGTGTATACGAGTGTTTAAAGGGGAAAAAAAAGAATGTGCCCAATTTGTACTCTTTGGATGGACCATTGTTCATGTATCCACTTCCGCGGGACAAGAAGAAAAAAAAGGAATGTTCATGTATCCACCAAGATCGACTTCATACTATGTTGTGTGCCTTCTAGACGGCCGTCGTGTGGTACTGGTGCAGACCCAACGACATCGTGAAACGGCGGTTCTAATGAAGAGAAAGGAGGTGTGCAAGCTTACTACTCCACTACTAGCTGCTTGCCTGCCTTATAATTACAAGCAGCAGCACCTGCCTGTCTGCTTCAGCTAAAGCATGGTGGCGAAAATTCCCCCATTGGGAAGCATGTCGCTGTCAGGCTAGCAAGTTTATGATGAGTGCGCGCGAGACATCTTTGTTTGGAATTGACCACGTCACCACCAGCGCGCTTTTTGGCCCCCGCCGTTTTTGTTGCTGGCCTGCTGCCAATTACTTTGGTTCTTATCATCACCAGTCAAAACACGCACGTGCGGCAGATCACCCAATTATTAATCAAAACATTCTTCAGTGAACTCATTAGCAAGACCAATCACCCCATCCACATACATGTGATTCATCATGTTAAAACTTAAAACGCTTTTCAGCTCGTCTCCTGCTCAAGGCCTGGAACTGCATGCCTCATCACTCGATTGCGAACAAATGGCCACCTGCAGCTGCCATCACTCCATCAGCTGCAGTCTTGCGACACTGATGGCCATGGCCTCAGGCTCTTCTGTTTCAGGCGCTGCACTCGCTTCCGGTGGCCTCGCCCTTGCCTGTGTTGCTCCCACTCGTGCGCCCCTCGCAGCACCCGGTTGTCGCAGGCCTGTGGAGTTAAATAAACACAACACCCATGCTTCATCATCGGTAACTCTGCAACAGAATTTTCGGCGTCTGCATTCTTATGGATACAATACAGCTCTTGGAAAACTAGACTCACCTCACACACATATTGCGTCCACAGCTCTCTTGACGGGCCCCTTACACTTCCAACCACACCATTTGAGGCGATTGTGCTTGGTAAAAGAGTTGAATCGTCAGACAAGAACCTTTTCACAACATCCACACAAGGTTCAACAACTTTCTTTTGCCACGAGTCGCCAGTGGCACCTATCAAAACACACATGAGAGATTATGAGTTTCTGCAGAGAAGGCATACACATTTGACAGTGCACCGAAGGAGTTTAGATGGCCTTACATACAGCAGAATGCTTCGGTTGCATCAACGCAATGCAAATTCCACCCAAAATCTTTACTCAGTCGATGCAGTCTCCGTCTCTTTAAGGCCAAAAAAAAAGGTAAGAAGTTTACAGTGAGCCAAGTATCAGTGCTCAGTCTGACAGTCTTCCAAAAGACAGAAATAACATAAAAATACACAGGATGCTAAGTGCTTACTTGGCGTCGAACTAGTCTGCGAGTGTTTGCCTTCAGCTGGGAAACAGCTTCATCCAACAAGCTCTTAAGCTGATAGTCATGTATACCTAACAAGCTCGCAGAAGAATCCTCACCAGATTCTTTTCTTGGTAAATATAGTCTGAAAAAGTCATCAAATTCACGGACCCCAATTGCCTGCCGCAGCCCTTGGGTATAGAGAGCATCTGCATCATATATGTTGCATACTTCGTCCAGCAGGCCAGCATCCATCATGCAATCAACCCTTTTGTTGACATAACTGTCCAGAGCTTGAAGATCAGCATCTACCCACAGGAAACAACAGTCGAATCTGGAGTTACTAGGCCGACCCCATTTCTGTTCTGACACAACCAATGATCTCATTTAAGACATCTAGAAATCCCAACAAGTTCAAACTCAAACAGGAAAAAGAAAAGGAGTGTTGTGAGGCGATTATGGGTTCACGTTCATGACAAAAAGAGGGTGTTTCACTGGGATTTCTACAAGATTGATAAAAAGCACCGAGCAGACAAGTGTAGAGAAATTCCTCACCTTAGCAGCCTCTCCTTGGAAAAGATCACTGGGTAGGAAACCCGTCGTTGCATACAACTCAAGGTAGCGTTTGATCTTTGCAATAGACCAACGCATGCAGAATGGAAAAACACAGAACAATCAATGGCATAGGAAAATGAGAACCTGTACAAGAAGGAATTCTAACATTGCATAGTTATATAAAGTCAGGAAACTTGGGCAACACCCTTACTTTTCTATGGTCGTTTGGATGGATCCTTTGCGCAGCCACCGGATCAATCTCCTTCAAGCGTTCATACCCACTGCCTTCATCGCCATTGGTAAGGCCTGTTTGGCATAGATAACAGACATGTCAACCGCTGTTTGGGAATTGAGCTACACACTAAGAACAAGGAACATTTAACATGACTTATTACTCACCTATATCATCTATGTGATCTCTCAAAGTACAGTCCTGCGTTTCTTCTGCCATATCATCAAAGAGGAATGGGCTAACAAGAGTCTGAAATATTACGTGGGCAAAAAACACGACGGTAGTTCAGACACTGCGGTCACACAGAAAGCAGATGGACTTGATGATACAGAAATCAGGACACTTCAAATTTGAACCTGGATGTAGAAGTTTGTGCCGCCGACAATCACAGGGAGGCCACCGCGATCCAATATTTCCTGTATAATCTGTGAGCAGAGGGGAAGGCGTTAGCTATCATCATGTGACCCAGGTCCAGTACTGAAACTTGTAGAGGCAGTGGTAGCAGCATTGGCTTACCGGAACGGCATGGTCGCGGAAATCACGGCAAGTGAACTCTACGGAGGGATCGATCACGCTAAGGAGATGATGAGGAACACCTGGAATAACGCATGGAACGGGTTCGAGCATTTAATCTGAGAGGAAACTCAAGTTGGGGGAGGTGGTGAGGAGTCAGAGACAGACCGTTCTGCTCGTGGAGGGGGACCTTGTTGGTGAGGACGTCGAGGCCGCGGTAGAGCTGCATGGAGTCGGCGCTGACCACCTCGACGCCGGCGAAGTGGGCCGCAAGGTCGATGGCCAGCCGCGACTTGCCGGCTCCCGTGGCGCCCATGACGATAACCACCTTGCCCCGCCCCCTTTGAGACGGAGGCGGCGACGGCGGAGAGCAGGCGGCTCCTTCCTCGCCGGTGCCAGGGCTAGGGTTTGCAGCGGCGGCAGCGGAGGGGTGGGCCATCCCTAACCGGCGGCGGGAGGTGGGGAGGCGGGGAGCTGGCAGGCAGATATGCAGATCGGTGAGAAGGGTTTAGCGGATTTTTTTTTTGGCGAAAATACTTTTTAAATTTTCTTGATTGATGTTATACATGCGCTTGCTACTAAAATTACTGCATTCAAATTACTGTTATACAGCTGTAATTTCAAACATGAATAACTGGATATTGATATGGTCATCCAAAAATTCCAAAGTCTACGACAATCTTTTTTTTCCTGAAGAAAGCGCATGAAAATACTATACATACAAAAGTTCAATATCAAATTTTGTTCGTGGATCAACACAACATATGAGAGTACATGTATACAACTGCAAACGCTATTACAGTTTGGTCTCGGGACAAACTTGTCTAGAGATGATCTTCTTCGCTTGGTAACTTCACACAGAAAAAGGATTCAAAATCAGCAGGAAAAAAAAACATTCATACAAGCCATATATGTTGTGAATCGTCCTGTTCTTCAGTAGTATTTTTTTCCTCTCACAACAAATCAGCATAAGCCAAATTTCAGCGAAACGAACAGCAAAACGAACAGTGTACTTCATCAGGAACAGAAAAGAGGCTTATCACACTCTTTCACTCACTATGGTCGTTGTGAGCCTTCTGCTGCTCCATTCCAGCACTACGGTGTCCTTGTGCACCGGCCTTGAAGACCCTTGTCTCGGGACCTCCAAACAGGACCCCTTCATTGTCTTGCATCGACTCATCCTTACACTTCTAATCATCTTTCCTTCCGCATTCTACAAAATAAAGACTGATATATTAGCATCTGTCTTATCAAAGTTACAGATAGAAATCTTTTCTGTGCTCACATTCGGGCTATCGTAACCTTCTTCACAGGCATCGCATAGATCCAAAGCCAGCTTCCGCAGTAGTGGTAACTGCAACAAATGTCACCGAGTTACAGATTTCGAAACCGATGGTGCCAGACGATAAACTAGAGGAGAAGGAAGGCACCTCTCTGATAGCATCGTCTATGATGCTCCTTCCAATGCCCCTACCCTGCGGTTCTCAACTCTCAGAAACTATATAACCAATCAACAATTCAACTTCTTCAACAGAGAAAAGTTACAATGGTATACGTCCTGGAAATGACATATATAGAATTATAGATGGACTGCAATTTTGCAACAGCATGGTGAAAGTTTGTTTCAACTGTAGCCATGTCAGGCACCACTTCCTCTTTGGGTAGCAACTAACAAGTATTAAGTTGCTCGCATCATTTAGTACAGTTCTACATTGTGTTTTAGGATTCACTAGAACTATATCTAAAGAACTTGCTATGATATTTTTCATACTCACCGTGTGCCGTAGTAGGATGTCTTCCAAAGCTTTACAACTGAGAAAAGAAGAAACCCCTTCAACTGTTATTTTACCACATTCCTGTATATGGAAAAATAATGCAATCCATAAAAGAAGGCATGTACAGGATGAAAATGGTTTCAGACATTGAGTAGAGTTTTAGATATTTGTAAAGTATACTTTTTATAGCATTGGAAGTCAAATACTTTTAAAAATCAAGTTTCAACTAATACAATATAAAACATCTAGCAGTGAATGAAATAGAGCTGTAGAGTACATGTTGGCGCACAAAATATGGACATGCTATTTTGTTAGTCTTATAAGCTACTCTTTTAAAAAGGCTTTTGCTGCCCCACCACTAAAGCAAGTCCTATTTATTTAGTTTAGTTATATACTTATATTAGCCACTGAACCCCGAAATTTGATTTTAGAGGAAAAAATATCAGATATTCAGCACTGACACAATAAGGTTTACTCAAATTGTCGAGATTGCAGTTAGGCATACCTCAAGGTGTAAAAGTGCCAAGTTTGGCCACCCAGATGAGATAATGTCTTGAGAGTCTGTAGATCAAGAAAAAGTGAAAACTCAAAATGACCAAATTACAGGAGCCACTGGATTTGGAAGTAAAACTTACTGGAGTCAAGGAGTTTGCAACCGGACAGTGAAAGTTCAGCTAAATTGCAATTCTCTGTAAGGATTGTCAAGTCATCATTTGTAAGCCATGGAGTAACCCAATGAAGCTGCAATACTCTTAATGCAGGTGCTTTTGTTTGGAAACTAAATGAAGTTAAACTGCCAAGACAATAGTGCAGGCAAAGCACATGAAGATTTACTGCTGATTCCAATAGATTTCTAACAACTCTGTCAGATATCACCTGGATGTATATTGTCAATTTGTTATGGAGTGAAAAGCACAAGTTCATATTTAACATGCCGTCGAGTGTTGGGGCACACCTGAAACCTCAGAATCAAAGACTCGAGGAATGGGCAAATCATAGGAAGAGCACACATGACATTCTCAGCTAATGCTGTGCCAAGACCAATTGTCATCTTCCTTACTTTACTAAAAGAAGGAGCAAGATCTTCAATTCGAATAGGGCAAAATCCCCAGCCCATTTCAACATCCTCCAAACAGCAGGTAGTTCCTACCTCCTGTAGAAAATCTCCGTACTTGTTACCACTGATATTTTCTACATTATCACATTCCAACAGAAGACTACGGCATCCAGCTGTTTTCAGACAGTTCAATTTATAATTTCTTCGTATAACTGGAGCTAATGATACCATAGAAATCTGTGAGTCAATGGACAAAAAGAAAAGAATTAAGCACACTCTATAATGGTACATGAAAAAAACAAACTTAACAATAAACTTTTGGGGTTTGTCCTTCGGATGCGAAGGTAAAAATGATAGCTGTCGTACTAAAATAAAGTAGCAGAAAAGTCCATCAACATAATTAAAAACCGTGTACTTCTATCACCCTGCAGCCTGCAGGCATGTGTATAAAATATCAACCTGATACATAGAAATAATAGCCCCACAGGCCACAGTGCACTATGTATTACTCATCAATAGTCTCCTAGCTCAGTGAACATTCCAGTATGAGTGTTTCATCAATTGTTCAATTGTAGTGCTTGATTAGTTAGAAGCTCAAAACTAAATTACATAATCAGTATGATAAATATTTTCTAAAAAGTAGACACATTAATATAAAAGTGATCAGGCATATTGAACAAAAACAATGATTCAAACAGAAAATCATACCACAGTCTCTGAAACGTCAAGATACTCGAGACTAGAGCCAACAAACTTGCAGAGTGCACCATCTGTAAGTGATGTTTCCCTTAAGCTCAGAAACTTTGTGATGCTTATAATGCTCATTAGCTGCGACAAAGCAGCAGAGTCAATACCTACATATTGACATATACCTATATTAGCCAGCATGCCTAAGTAGTGGAAGGCAAACATAATGATAACTAAAAAACAAGCACAGCATCGTATTTCTGATGTCATAAAAATAAATTATCATTTGCTCAGTCATCGAGGGATCTGGGGCATGAGACAAAGGGAATTGTTTTTACCTTTGCAGCCATCCAGATGTAATTCTTGCATATAAAATGCCATAACATGAGCATGTACACTGTTGTGGCCAGAAGGATTGGTAGCGCATAGTGTTTGAATTGATCGATTTCCAAAAGAAGTATAAGAAAGAACCATTGAATGGATCTTTGTACACTTCATCAGAAGGTAAGAAATACCATCATCTGTTAACAGGAAGCAGTTTCTAATGTTTATATAGCACAGAGAATTTTTCAAAACAGATATCTCCAGCAAGCCCACATCTGCACACGCGCAAACAATGAAGTTACTAGCTTGCAGGTAAGGTAATAACAATATGGATAGCTGCAAAGCAAGAGATGATAAGCACAAATCTTTTCTATTACCATCAATATCACTTCTGCCTTCCAATGTCAATCTTGATATATTTAAGAAAATCGAATTCAGTTGTCTGTCATATGGTGGACAATGTATGCCATATCTTTTCTGATTTGGTTTCACTTTGCTTAGGACTTCAGAACTAGACGAGACTACTGAATGTTTGGGTGTTACAGTGCTTGTATCAACAGTCATATCAATTTCATCAATCCACGGACATCTCAGCAACAGATATAGCAAATCATCAAATTGAAAGGATAAACAATGTGAAACCCTGAATATCCTTAATTCTGGAAAAAACAACTTCAACCAGTCAATTGCTGCGCCAAAATGAACATTTGGACATTTTGAAATATCCACCATGTGTACATTCTTGAATGATAAGGTTTTAGCAGCCTTCTCTAGTTCATTATAAAGAATGAAGCTTCGATGATCAACCTGGGTGTATGAACTCACTATCCTTCTCTTAAATGAAACATCCAGATCAGTAGGGAGAACAGATATGTACAAGAATGCTGTAGTTACTTGGGGACATCCTGAAAGCACTATGTTCTGCAAAATAAAACCATCATCCTTAAAAATAGACAGAGCGCATGATCTTCTTGGACAGTGAAGTTCAAGGCTAATGCATTTGCAATTTCCCTTTTTTGCAAAGGAAGCTAAGCAAGCACATAATCATAGCAAAAATATTTTGGAGAATATGAATCTTGTAAAAAGATCTAGTGAACCTGAACTATCACATCATAAACTTCACCTATTTTGCAGCATTTGATCAGATTAAAGTACATGAAGAGGTTGCATTAAGTTTCATTCACTAAAAGAAGTAGTAAATATTTTGCAAAGCAACAGGAAAAAAGAGAACGAAACATAAGGTGAAGAATTCATTCTAGACAGGTTAAATGTATCATTGCAATATTAAATGGAAGTGGATAAACCTTCGAATATTCTGTTATTCGAATGCAATATCTCTCCAAGTTACCATCAGCAATAGCATCCAATAAAGTTTTCAAACTGTCCTTGAGAAGATCAAGAATTGTGCAGACGATGTTGTTTCCAAAGTCAAACCAATGCCTCTTTGTCCCTAAAAATACAATTTTCCATTGACCATTGTATTACTAATACATGACAAGAAATTATGGAAGATGTGTAGTGTAAAAGAAGGAGCAAACATGAGAACTGTCTGTTATCACTTAAAATTTATAGATCTAGGAATTGTACCTGCCGCAAATCCCAACGGTAAAAGGCATATCTTCACCTGCAGAAACAGTCCAAATGAAAAGATATGCATAAGTTAAGACAGCCAAATGCTTGATGAACTAATATACAACAGCAGATACTGAGGGGGGCAGAATAGACTTGACACTAAATACTACCCACATATTTTGAGGAATAGTGTACCTTGCTAAGAAGGAAGAGGTGGCCATCTACAGAGTTGGGGTATGATTGTTCACAGGTTTTCATATTTTCTGAAACCCAATACAAAATTGCTTCACACAATTGCTTTTCACTGGACAAGGGCAGCAAATTAGTTTCCTTCACAGAGGGGAATAATGAAAATCATGTTATAGAATAACACTGAGAAAAGATACAACAAACCTATCCACCGTCAGATGTGGACATTCGATCGTTGAACATAGCAAATCATAAGGTATTTTATTAAATGACCTTCTTGAGATAACATGTGCCTGTGCGGTCCACAGAATGGGAGTGGTACAGAAAGCACGTTGCATAATGCATGAGCACATCAGAAAGGAACCAAACATTGCCAGGAAATATATTTTTGAAAGAACATGCACAAAGTGAATGTACAATGGTAATGCAGTAATTGTACCTACAAAATTCTGAGCTAGATATTCTCGGCAAATTTCTTGAACAAAAGTAACACCTGCAAACATATACAAAGTCGGCGCAAAAAGAAGTTCAAAGAGTTGACTATATTTTGTTAAAGTGGAAGCTATTAGCTATGAGAATTTCAGAACACCATAACAAAAGACACTCACCATGCTCTTGAGCAAAGTCCCAGACTTCAATTATGAAATCTAATGGAGCTGAAAAAATGGCGGAAGTTTGAGAGGCTATGGTGCTGAACCATCTTTCACACTCCACTAGAAGGCTCTCAACAGCAAGAAACAAAGCTCCCTGGAGGATAAATGAAGTTAGTGACCTAGAGTAGTACCTACCATGAACAGATGGCAGTAGCACTAGACTCAAAATTGCTAATGAGTATGGCCTAAACGACCATCTTCCTCCAGCAGCTATCTGTGATTCACTAGTTTACTGGTAACTGCTAATGGAGGTCACAATGGTAGACAGTACTAATGAAATTCCTATTATCACGGCATAGAATTTATGAAACATAATAAATGCATCAAAAATAAGATAACTAATTTAAAAGGCTATTGTCTTGTATTATCAACTAGACAACCACAACTTCTAAGTATTATATCATTTATTCAGAATTGATTAACAGTGAACGCTACACTTTCAGGACTGGGTACCTCCAACAGCAGGAGGAAATTGTTGTGCGTGATGTTGAAGCTCTCGGAAGGCTCAAACAGGTAGCGCAGCACTTGCACGGCAGCCTCCAAATCGCAGCCCACGTTCACATGCTCTCGGCCGGATTCACTGCACACAGACAGCGTCCATGAGATACCCTGGCCACTCGCCACTAACTTAACTTGTAGTAATAGTAGCTCGAGAGCTCGAGGCTTGGGTTTTCGCTAACCTGAAGCTGCCGCCGAGGAGCGCGCGGAAGTAGGAGGAGCTCTCGATTAGCCTGCCACAAGACAGGATTCGATTACCAAAGCGCAGGAATCAGCTAGGGGTTAGGTTGAGATGAGAGAGCGCTCGCTTGCCTGTGCCGGTCAACGCGAACGGCGACGGTTGGGGATGGGAGCGGGTCGAAGCGCGCGAGGTCAGAGATGGAGACCGGTGGGGGACGAGGTGAGGATGGATCACGGGCGGCGGCGGAGGATGATGTGTCGGTGATCTCTAGAACCACCGCGTCGCCGGCGGAGGTGGCTGCGGCGTCTTCCTCGTCGCCGGGGAAGACCATGGCCGAGGTGCTTGGTTATGGACTCATGGGCTGTTTCAGGAATGGATCGAGTTCTTCAGTTTGTTGTGTGAATTTGTGACTTCATGAGGTGGGCCGCTGGTCCGACTTGGACGAGCAACAGGCCCAACCTTAAAATGCCAAGCCCCATCCTAAAGAAACCAGAAAAATAAAATTCTCTATTTCTTTTTCTTTCTGATGTGAATCCCAAATTTGTTGGTTTTATAAAGCACTGAGATTTGAGTACAATATTAGCGTTGTTATTCCATTTCGTCCTTGAACTTTCAAAATAATCATTGAGGTGCTCAAACTTTAATTTTGGGCTTGGTTCATATCTCAAGACTATCAAAGTGACAGTTCCAGTTCTCGAAACGTACTTTTGTTCAATTTCTTCCATGAACTATCAAGCTAAGGGACTAGACTGAAATGCACAATGTTAACTCAAGGATGAAATTGAGCTCAGAAATAAAGTTTGAGTGTCTTAGGATAATAATGAGCCCAAAAGTGAAGTTAAAGTATTGAAACAACCATTTTGAAAAGTTGAGGGATAAAATTGAGTGCCGGAACCAAAGGATGGAAGTGGTGGTTCAAACTTAGTTATTTAAATTTAAAAAGGTAATAATGAATAAATTAAACCAAATATAAATGGGTTATACAAATAAAATTGGAGTGTACATGCATACGCTTCAGCTAATCGATCTCATGTAACTGAATATAACAATAATGTTGAAGACACAAGGATTGAAAATTGAAGCGGCTGATTTTCCAAAGAAAAAAATTGATGCATGCGCAGCTGCCAAACGACGCCACTAAACGCCGAACATTCATTCAAAATGAACCCAGCGATCAATTATCCGACCATGCTAGTTGCGTTAATAGGAAAGCATTCATTCCACCTGACACCATTTTAGAATAGTATATTATTCTTTTCTCTTTCTCTTTCAGATTTCAGGCGGACGTTAGGTGCGTTTTTTTCTTCTCTTTTCACGTGCAGTCACACGAGTGACGGTAGTTTCACTTTCGTTTCTTTTCTGAGAACCGCACGCATAATTTAGAAAACTGAGTTACGCAGCATAACTTCCAGGATTAACTTAACAGTTCTAAGTTATACATTTCTTTTTTGCGCAAAATTTACATTTTTAAAACAGCTGCGAGAATAACATTCTCTTTATGTTTCATCAGCATTTTTTTCTTTTCAGAAACTAAATCATTCGAGAATATGGGAATAGGGTTAAAAAGGGTGGGGGAGCAAAATATAAATAACTTTTATAACCTATAATACACAACAAATTCCATAATATGATGCAAACTTGCAAACACCAGATAAATAATTACATTCATAACTTCTACAACTATGATAGTCTCAGCATCTCTGTGGCTATGACATTGAGCATATCTGTGTCTTCAATTGGAACATTTGCAAAATATTTAATATTTAAAGTAACAAATAAAAAACAAAGTTCACAACAAGGAAAAACATAAGTTAGCAGGAAAAGTAAGATGACTATATAACATAGACACGAAAACACAAGTATAAGATACATAACTCTCTACAGTAAGTTAATCACATAAGTTATGTACCATACATATGAAAACACAAATTAGGTACATAACTCTCTACACTAAAGTTAATCAAAAAAGTTATGTAGCATACACATGAAAACACAAGTTAGAAACTTAACTCTGTAGCATAAGTTAATCAACTAAGTTAAATAACATACTCATAAAAACAAAAACAAAAAAAAACAAATAAATAACTTATGTACAAAACTTACTAAACACAAAGGAACAAATTAACTTATAAATTATGCTAAAACTTAGAAACACAAAAATTACTAAACACAAAAGGAACGAATTAACTTGTAACTTATACCAAAACTTAGAAACACAAAAATTATGAAACATGACTTATGTACAAAATGTTACATTGTCAAAGTTGTGAATATATGTTATGTGTATAACTTAGTATAAAAGTTACATGAATATATTTGTACACAACTTATGTATAAAAGTTATGAAACACAATTTATGCTCATAAATTATTTCACAATTTATGTACGTAAGTTTATTCTATACAACTTGCCAAAGCTGTCCAACAAAAGTTCCGATAAAAACTCGTGCTAATAAGTTCTACTCTACAAATGTTATATTGTAAAAGTTATGGTAAAAAGTTATTCATAAAAGTTATGTGCGTAACTTAGTAATTTTTCCAAAAAAAGTTACGTGTATAACTTACTTGTATAACTTAGATATATAACTTGACGAATGACTTAGATGTAAAGTTGGACGTATAAGTTATATTCATGAACTTAGACGTACAAATTAATATCATAATATATTAACAGAAATACGAAACTATGTACGAAATAACTTATATAAAAAATAAAAAGGTAAAAGAAAAAAGTAGAAAATAAAAGAAAGAAAGATGGACACAGTTAGTAGTAGTCTAAATTGACATGCAAACATGCATGCATGGTGTTTACCATTTCTTTTATGTACGGTCAAGAAATACCGTGGCGCATCCACCAGCCATGCAATGTAGCCACAGTAGCACGTCGTACGGTTTCGGTCGTATCGTTCGCTGGAATAGCAACCAGTGGACGACCGCCGGAATGGAATTGTGGCTGCCAAACTCGATGCGCTCATATATCATATATACTATATATTTAGGAGTATAATAATATATATTATAAGCCTTATTTATTGAATATAATTTCAATCGGTCGGTTCTATGCATATAAACACACACACACACATACATACATACATACATACATACATACATACATATATATGTATGTATGTATGTATGTATGTGTATATATATATATATATATATTTTGTTTCCTACTCTCAGTGAGTAGTTACTCCCATGTGTATATCTCTAGATTTAGGGCGTATATGGGCCGACGAAGTGTATGTAGATGGAGTATATCATCATACTAGACCATCTATGGTATTATGTATGACAAGTATGTATGTATACTTAGAGTATATGGTTATACTTATTTTATATGCTACTGTCATAGTATTATATAATATATTAAAAAATATGGGCTCTTTTGAAAAAAAATCACATATAAAGATATGGAGTATCTTAATATGAGTATGTCAACATACTTAAACTGATAAATGAGTATGTATACATACGCAACGTGATTTATCGATTATGGGAGTATCTATTTCCGGGAGTATATAAAATGTAATATATATATATATATATATATGTGGTAAGGCTATTCTGCAGCTGGCCATAGAATAACTTATTCTATAGCCACCTTGATTGATGATAATGTTTGTACCAATTTACGATAACATGAATATGCATTTACGATACTTGTGTTACTACAACTCACGGTGATATTTACCATAATGTTATAGTAAATCAATTAGTAAGGAGTTACTGTAATATTGTAAATTAGAATAGTAACTATAGTAACTCAAAGTATATAGAATAAGTTATTCTATATATATGCTGCCGTATATATATATATATATATATATATATATATATATATATATATATATATATATATATATATATAACTGACGTCGTCGTATATTTTGATACCAATTAATAATAATAATTGTATATAACTGTGGTTATTGCTTCTTCTTTTTCTTCGGTGTAGAAGAAAGATGGAAACGATCGATCAAGATCCGATGGTCGTACGTCGTCTAAGACGCAGTACACATATACTTATTCCATGTCGTCGGTGACCATGGCAATATTAACGGCGGTGGTGGTGCCTGCTTGGTGGCGTCCACCACCAAAGCGTGCGACGGCGCAGTCGGTGGAGAAGAGGTCGGAGGAGAGGTAGTCCGGCGCGCCGCCCATGACGGGCATCTTGGAGGTGACGTTGAGCCTGTTGACGTAGTCCGGGCGGTAGGTCTGGCCCAGCACGCCGTGGACGTCGTCGGTGAGGTCGTAGAACTTGAAGCCGAGGTCGAGGTGCGCCAGGCTGTCGTCGTCGGTGACGCCGTAGTTGTGGATCCGGGAGTCCTCGGCGGTGATGGGCACGACGTTGGCGACGATGCGGAAGACGCCCCTGAGCTCGACGACGACGGTGTTGACGCGCGCGGTGCGGGTGACGGACAGGGCGGGAGCCGTGGGCGGCGACCAGCGGGCGCCGACGAAGCGCGGCAGCTGGGACGCGACGTCGAGGTCCTCGTCGTCGAAGCCGAGCGCGAGGTGGTCGGCGGCGGCGTCCCACTTGGGCGTCTTGGCGGCGCCGACGTAGAAGTGGTGGTGCGCGAAGCGGATGCCGAGCGCCTGGATCCAGGTGAAGTCGCGGCTCATGGCCGGGTTGCGCTTGCCGATGAAGTGGGCGTTGATGTGGAGGCCGGCGTCGGAGACGATGCAGAAGTCCTTGTCCTTCTTGCCGTGGAAGTAGAAGTTGTTGCCGTCGGCGCCGGTGAAGCGCGGGTCGCCGCAGGAGACGCCGGGGTAGAAGTCGCACACTGCATGCATGCATGGCTACAAATTAAAACCAACAAAAAAATGGCCAATGTAAACGATCAACACTGAGCGACACATACAGCAGAATGTCTTGCAGCTTGGGCACTGGATGAGGCACTTGTGAGGGCATCGCTTGTTGCAGGTGGCGCTGCAGGTGGTCTTGTTGGTCTTGGTGTTGGTGCACTTGAGAGTGGTGGCAAGAGAGTTGGAGCCGACGGTGAGGCTGGGGATGTCCGGCACCCCCTGGCCCTGAGAAGAAGCGGACTGCATCATCACAGCCAACGCCGCCATGCACAGCAGCAGGGCCAAGCTCATCATACGACTGCTGCTCGCTGCCATGGCCGGCTTAGACGACACAGCAGCCCGCAGGACGTGCTACGACGCTGCTGGCTACTACTGCTCGCTCGATGGAGATATATTCTCTGCCTCGCAGCCTATATATAGTACAGAAATGTGTAGCTGGGGTTCCTTTGGCCTGCTGCCTCTCTCTCTCTCTCTCTCTCTCTCTCTCTCTCTCTCTCTCAGTTTAGTTCCTCGATACAAAAAACAAGATTTTTTTCACATCGAATCTTTAGCATAGCTGGGGTTCCATAGTTTAGACGAAATTTGGCCTGCTGCCTCTCTCTCTCTCTCTCTCTCTCTCTCTCTCTCTCTCTGCTGGGTGCTGGCCATGCAGTGGCCACAGATGCTACTCCTGTACGTGTGCTGGTAGCTTCTAGCTTGCCGCGTTGCATTGAGCCGTTGACGTTGACATGGAGCCATGGAGGGATCATGCATGGGGATCGGAAGTGCATGCCTGCCTTGAGTCCCGCCTCAGCAAATGCATGCATGACTTTTTACATGCATATACTACGCTACGCGTGCTTCCATTCCGATCCCTTGTTTGTACAGACGCCAGCCAGACGGTACAAGCAACATCCTAATAAGCAAACGTACTAGCAGGACAAGCTTGCTGGTGGTGAATATACATATCAGCGTTGAAATAATGCAAGCAATGCATGGCCATATATCCCATCGTCGTTAGCTGATTACTACACTGACCAACAGCTAGCTAGCTCTAGTAGTTGCATGCATGCATGCATGTGTAGCTTCTGCCCATGCTACGGTACCTCCGGATTCCTACTACTGCTATTAGCTGTTGCTACTTGCAGCGCGCGCGCGTGCATGTCGCCCAAGCTACCACAAGGAAACGCCATGCATTTCCTGCCTTCTTATCTTCTTCACAAGCACGCACGGCCACGGCCAGGATTAGAAATACTCCCAACTTACACAGATGTGAGTGTATGCCAGTTTCAAGTGGCCGTATTTCAAACAAGTTAAAAGCCAGCGCGCACAAGTCGAGAACAAGCAATCCAGGATTCCTTTATCTGGCTATTCTTTCTTTAGCTGCTAGTAGCTGCTAGCGGCTCCTTGAGCAGAAAGGAAAGCTCAAGCTCTAGCTGCAGAGACAAGCGCGCTCTTGTCCACGCATGCTCACTGGTTCGGCCGGCCAGCTCGGACGACACGACGCTAGCTAGCTATGTCCCGGCTCCACTGTCACCACCACTGCAAAAAATAATTAATTTCAGAAAACAAAGCATCTTCTTTTATTTACAAAGATGCATGGTCGAGAATTATACTGGTCTCTAAAAATGCACATTGAAATTTAGAGACAGTCGGTTATTTATGGAGATAGTAAAAAAACTAGCACATCCTAAAACTGATTTACTGAGGCTATTAATTAACGAGGCCCCGGGCCACTAAAAACCCAGCCCACCCAACTCTCCCATCTCTCTCTCTCTCTCTCTCTCTCTCTCTCTCTCCCATCACCTATTCACCTCCTACCTCTCTACCCCGAATCAACCCTCCTCGCGTTTGAATCCGGCATGCCCCGCCCCCATCAAGGATATATAGCTTGCTCCCACATTAGGAAGATTAATGGTATTTTGATTTTCCAACATGCTTATGACATGATATTGTATTCATTCAGCACAATTTGAAGCAAACAACTAGTATCAAAATTATTTTATGTGTTTATGAGCAAGTTTTAGTTTTTTCTTAAAAAATAAGTTTCACAAAATTGAGTTGTTTTGCTTCCAGTATCGGGTATACCAATGAATCACAAAAGGGTTGAATAATAAAGATTGAAAACACTACCGGAAACGTTAAATTTGCCGAGTGTTTTCTCTCGGGCACTCGACAAACAAGTTCTTTGCCGAGTGCTGTCATAAAAACACCCGGTAAACCCTTTGCCGAGTGTTTTTTAGGCTTTGCCCAAATCTCCTGATTCCCGTAGTGAAAGCGGTTGAAGAGCATTTTTTGAGGAAAAAAGAGTGGCTAGAAAGGATGGTGTTTTGTCTTGGAAGACAACTAGTCCTGATTAACTTTGTTTTGAGTAGTCTTTCTACATTTATGATGTCTTTCTTTGAAGTATCAAAAAGGTATTAATAAGAAATTAGACTTCATAAGTCTCCCTTTTTTGGAAAAGGCGGTAACCTTAAGAAAAAAATTAGACTGATGAAATGGAAAGTTTTTTTTTGACCAAAACAACAACGTTGTATAGGAATCTTGAATCTTGAAAGTCGGATTTTTTGCTTAATTATTCTGAATAAGTGTCTATATAGGTTTCGGAAGAACTTCTTAGGAACAAATACCTACAAAATAAGATCATTGGTGAAGTTCGGTGAAAATCAGGAGATGATCACACTATTAGTAAGGCCTTATTAAGGCTAGCAAAAAAATTCTACAAAAGACCGAAGGTGATGCCATGTTGCCTGTGGACAATGAGAAAAATCTAATTGCCTAGTCAACACTTTGATTTGTGACAAATTTGTTACCGGACATCACGCCTATTAAAATGTCCATTTGCGGTTTGCGGGGTAAAATGTCATTTTTGCCTCTGACCCTTTGTTCTTCCTCCCTCCCTTTCTATCCATTCTCTTTCCTCCTCCCCTTTATCTCCCCTAGCAATCATCGGGGTGCACATTCACACAACCCTACCTGGGAAGCAAGGGTAAGGTTGAAGAAGGGGTGTCGTTTCAGCTCCATTCACCTTTTAGGCCAGTCTCAATGGCAGTTTCATTTGCATTTAATAAGGTGCCACATAAACGCTTTTGATGACATTTTTAAGAGAGAGGAGTGAGGTTCATGGGGATGAAACTCTCTTGGCACAATTACCAACTCTCCATGAGTCATGAAATTAAATGTCTATGAAACCATAGAATAGAACTTCCCATTGAGAGCGTGCATTTCATCCAAGTTTTATTTCATTCTATAAGACATAGCAGTCTTGGAAGCAACGCTATGAATGTTTCATCCAAGTTTTATTTCGTTCTAAACTTCTGCACATTCATGTATGTATGTGAACTTACATTTCAATGAGGATAAGTCGGATTGGCGACTGTAAAAGCCGACTATCATAATCTCAGTAGGATCGAAACAATCCTTAGTTCACATGCAACAACCAAATGTATGTCATATACTTCCTCCATTCTGAATTATAAGTAGTTTTGTTTTTTCTGGCAACATAACTTTTGGCATGTATTTAGACATAGTGTATCTCGGTGGTGTATAACAAATTATGCACAAAGAATAGCAAAGAGTAGTAGCATGCATGGACAACGAGTATCACAATTCAATTTGTTGAGCTCCTTACATAATAATAAATTTTTGATCAATGGAATGATCACTTAACGTTCACTTAATTATTTCTTGCTTTCAGGGTACGAGTACAAGAACGACGACGACGGAGTATATTAATTGTTGGGCTGGCTTCATTAATTCTTAATTATTTCGTCTTCCTCATGCATGGCGGCACGCACGGTTGACGGATGAGCGGCTCGCCGCCATGAAGAGGAGTGTGTATTTTTAAGAGGCATATGTGGTGACGGCGCCGGCAGTGGCAATGGAGTCGCTGCGGTGGAACCTGGAGACGGCGCAATAAGTGGAGAAGAGGCCCTCGGACAGGTACTTGGGTGCGCCGCCCATGATGGGCATCTTGGCGCTGATGTTCACCTTGGTGACGTAGCCAGGGCGGTAGGTCTGCCCCAGCACGCCGTCGACGTGGTCGGTGAGGTTATGGAACTGGAATCCGAGATCGAGGTGCACGAGGCTGTCGCGGTCCGTCTTGCCGTACTTGTGGATCCGGTCGTCCTTTTCGGTGATGGGCACGGCGCTGGCCGAGATGGAGAAGACGCCGTCCAGCTCCACGGCGACGGCGTTCACGTCCTTGGTGCGCCTGACGGAGAGCCCGGGGAGGGCCCTGGACGCCCAGCGCGCGTTGCGGACGGCGCCGACGTCGACGGGCTCGCCGTCGAAGGTGACCTGGATGTGGTCCTCGTCCTCGTCCCACTCCGCGGCTCTGCGGGCGCCGACGTAGAGGCGGTGGTTGTCGCCGAAGGTGACGCCCAGCGCCTGCACCCAGGTGAAGTCGCGGTTGAGGGCCGGGTTGTGGTTGCCGATGAAGTGGGCGTTGATGTGGAGGTCGGCGTCGGAGACGATGCAGAAGTCCTGGTCCTTCTTGCCGTGGAAGTAGAAGGTGTTGCCGTCGCCGCCGGTGAAGCGCGGGTCGCCGCAGGAGGTGCCCGGGAAGATGTCACAAGCTGCATGCAGGGTATATATATATATACGGTACGGTGTGCGTAAGTGAGTGACATTTTTACTGCTAGCTAGCTAGCTAAACTTGGTCGGGATCGACGGACGTACGGCAGAAGGCGAGGCAGTAGTCGCAGAAGACGAGGCAGGAGTTTGGGCAATCGGAAGGGCAGCCGACGTAGCAGGACGGACCGTTCTCGTCGGCGCAGGAGGCCTCGTAGTTGCGCTTGTGCCCAAATCTGCCGGGGGTGATGGGGAAGAACTTGGAGTTTGGCGGAGGCTTCGTCTGCCCTGGCAGCAGCGTCTTCTTGCGGGGGCTCCTGATCGGCCCCCTCGCTGACGCCACGCCGCAGGACGACAGCGCCAGCAGGAGCGCCACCGCCACCGCCATGCCGGCGCGCCTCCCCATCATCATGCTTCGTCTTCACAG